ACTGAAAACGCTCCCTTCGGCCGAGAGTTTAAAAACTAAATGAAACTTATAGACCCCAATACGAAAAGGAATGCATTGAAAATCTGGGAAAAAAATGATTGTCCGTGATTAGGTAAAACGCTACTAAAAGTGCAAGCTAATTATATTTATAATTTTTGTGAAATCCTACCGGCATTTGATGGTGCTGGTCATTCAACGATCGATCTGACGACACTTGTTAAAATGAAGACACGACAGGCTCCACGGTCGTCATCATTACAGATTCGATACAAAATAAAATTTTTAAGACGCTATCAGTGTTGTGACTGTCAAGGCTGATATCATTTTGTCTTCCTTTCACTTTTCCTTCCACGAATATCATATGTATAATGGAAATGCATTGCTAATATAGTTCCAATAGGAATGCATTGAAAATCAGGAATAAAGGGATTGTCATTGGTCAGGAATGAATGCAAGCATTACTGATAGAATAGGACTATTATATGTATAATGGAAATGCATTGCTATGATTTTACTATAGGAATGCATTGCAAATAAAGGGATTGTCATTGGTCAGGAATGAATGCAAGCATTACTGATAGAATAGGAATAATGGAAATGAATTGCTAATGATTTTATTATAGGAGTGCATTGCAAATGAGGAAGAAAAATTGTCATTGGTCAGGAATGAAGGCAAGCATTACTGAGAGAATAGGGCTTTATGTATAATGGAAATGAATTGCTAATGATTTTATTATAGGAGTGCATTGCAAATGAGGAAGAAAGGTATTGTCATTGGTCAGGAATGAAGGCAAGCATTACTGAGAGAATAGGGCTATTATATGTATAATGGAAATGAATTGCTAATGATTTTATTATAGGAGTGCATTGCAAATGAGGAAGAAAGGTATTGTCATTGGTCAGGAATGAATGCAAGCATTACTGAGAGAATAGGGCTATTATATGTATAATGGAAATGAATTGCTAATGATTTTATTATAGGAGTGCATTGCAAATGAGGAAGAAAGATTATTGTCATTGGTCAGGAAATGTATAATGAAAGCATTACTGAGAGAATGAGGGGCTATTATATGTATAATGGAAATGAACTGTCAATTTAGGCTAATGATTTTACTAATGATTTTATTATAGGAGTGCATTGCAAATGAGGAAGAAAGGTATTGTCATTGGTCAGGAATGAATGCAAGCATTACTGAGAGAATAGGGCTATTATATGTATAATGGAAATGAATTGCTAATGATTTTATTATAGGAGTGCATTGCAAATGAGGAAGAAAGGTATTGTCATTGGTCAGGAATGAAGGCAAGCATTACTGAGAGAATAGGGCTATTATATGTATAATGGAAATGAATTGCTAATGATTTTTTATAAAAGTGCATTGCAAATGAGGAAGGAATATCATTGGTCAGGAATGAAGGCAAGCATTAAGAGAAGGCTATTATATGTAATGGAAATGAACCAGATTTTACTATTGCACCAAATGAGGAAAGAAAATGGTCAGGAATGAATGCAAAGCATTACTTATAGTATAATGGAAATGAATTGCTAATGAAATATATAAAGAAAATGCATTGGTCAGGAATGAAGGCAAGCATTACTATAAAAACCATTGGAAAAATCTAATGATTTTTATTATAGGCATTGCAAAAGAAAGGTATTGTCATTGGTCAGGAATGAAGGCAAGCATTACTGAGAGAAGAGGCTATTATATGTATAATGGAAATGAATTGCTAATGATTTTATTATAGGAGTGCATTACCAAATGAGGAAGAAAAAATTGGTCAGGAATAGCATTACTGAGAGAATGCTATTATATGTATAATGGAAATGAATTGCTAATGATTTTATTATAGGAGTGCATTGCAAATGAGGAAGAAAAATTGTCATTGAAAAATTAGGAAGAAAGGGATTGTTTGAAATGAATTCTAATGATTTTATTATAGGAATGCAATGAGGAACTGAAAAGTATAAAACTATTATATTATAATGTAAATGCATTGCATTGCAAATGATGGTCAGGAATGAAGGCAACATTATAGGCTAATATATGTATAATGGAAATAATTTAATTATTTTTAAAACCAGGAAGAAAGGTATTGTCATTGGTCAGGAATGTGCAAGCATTACAATAGGGCTATTATGTATAATGAAAAATTACTAATGATTTTATTATAGATTGCAAATGAAAGAAAGCTATTGTAAATAGGCAAGCATTACTGATAGAAAGGGCTATTATGTATAATGGAAATGAATTTAATGATTTTATTAAAATACGTTGAAAATGAGCATTAAGAGAAAGCTATTATAGTATAATTGTCAATGGCTGAGGAAGAAAGTAATTATCAGGAAAATGCAAGCATTACCAAGAGAATAAAGCTATTATATGTATAATGGAATATAATGATTTTATTATAGGAGTGCATTGCAAATGAGGAAGAAAATTATTTCTGGTCAGGAATGAAGGCAAGCATTAAAATAGGGCATTTATGTATAATGGAAATTGCTAATAATTGGCATTGCAAATGAGGAAGAAAAATTATCAATGCAAGCGCATTACTGAGAGAATGAAATATGTATAATGGAAAGCCTAATGATTTTATTATGTGCATTTATATTGTCATTGGTCAGGAAAAGGCCGTACTGAGAATGGCTATTATATGTATAATAAAAATGAACAAAATGAGGAATTGCAAATGAGGAAGAAAGGTATTGTCATTGGTCAGGAATGAAGGCAAGCATTACTGAGAGAATAATATAATAATTTTACTAATGATTTTATATAACAGGGTAATGAACATGTCAGGAATAATACTGATTTTACTGAAAGAATGCTAATATATTTTGGAAATTTTAATGAATATAGGAAAATGAGTATTGTCATTGGTCAGGAATTGGCATTCTGAGGAATTATTATATGTATAATGGAAATGAAAATGATTTTTTTAGATGTTGAATCATTGGTAAAATACAAAGCATTACTGAGAGAATAGGCTATATATGAATGAAACTAATGAATTAAATAAGCATTGCAAATGAGGAAGAAAGTTTGTCATTGGTCAGGAATGAATAAAACTGATAGAAAGAGAAATATGTATAATCCAACAATGGCATTGCAAATGAGGAAAGAAAGGTATTGAGGAGAGCAAGCATTAGAGAGGGCTATTATATGTATAATGGAAATGAATTGCTAATGATTTTATTAAGTGCATTCCAAATTAGGTATTTTTATGGTCAGGAACATCAACATTTTATATGTTGGTCATGTAATATCAAATGAATTGGTCTAATTATATATTATTTATGCATTGCAAGTCTTGATTGAAAATAATTGTCCATGTTAATCTAAGCATTAAGGAAAAAGAAGCAAATGAGGAAGAAATATTGTATAATGGAAAAAAGCTAAATTTTTGGAAATGAAGAGGTCAGGGGAAAAGGATTGTCATTGGTCAGGAATGAATGCAAGCATTACTGAAAACAGGAAATTATAATGGAAATGCTAATAACATGCATTGCAAAGGAGGAAGGTATTGTCATTGCGAATGAAGCGAGAAGCATTACTGAGGAGAGATATAAGAGATTGCTAATATAGATAGAAAGAAATGTATTTTTTTTACAGAATTGTCATTGGTCAGGAATGAATGCAAGCATTACTGATAGAATAGGGCTATTAAGAATGGAAATGAATTGCTAATGAGATAGTGCATTGCAAATGAGGAAGAAAAGATTGTCATTGGAAGAAGAAGAAGCATTACTGAAGATAGGAATTAAATATATAATGGAAATGAAGAAGAACTATAGGAGTGCATTTGCAAATGAGGAAGAAAGGTATTGTCAATGAAGGAAGAGAAAATACTGAGAGTATTTATTTATAGAAATGCATTGCTAATGATTTTATATATAAATGCATTGCAAATAGTAACTAACCAAAAGAAAAAGTGAAAATTAAGAAATTATTAAGAAAGTTTAATTAAATTTATATTGATAAATGAATTATAATGATTTTAAGATTAGGAAGAAAGAGATTGTCAATGGTCAAGAAATTATAAATTTACAAAAATAAAGAACATTATTTGTATAATGAAAACGATGACGACGAAAAACCAGGAAGAAGAATTGCAAAAGAAGAAGAATTGAAGATTGAAGATTAAAATATAAAGCAAGCATTAAGTGAGAATTTTACTAAAATGTATTTATTGAAGAAAAGAATTGCTAATAGTCACTGTACCAATAAGAATTGCAAAGAAGAATATAAATTAATTGTCATTGGAAAAAAGAAAAATGTTATTGGTCAGGAATAAGGCTATTATATGTTTAAGGAGGGAAAATGTATTTATTTACAGAATTGAAGATAAAAGTAGTCACTGTAAGCAAGAAGAAGAATTATTAAGAAGATTAATTTAAAAGAAGAAAATGGAAGGGGAGGACCAAAAAGGGATAGAAAAATGGATTTAGTTTCAAAAATTGAGAATCCAGAAACTTTACGATGATGATCATGATGAACTGTAGAAAATCTAAAAAAAAGAAGGAGAAAGTAGAAGAGAAAGAGAAAGAGAGAAAAAAGAAAAAGTAAAATGTATTAATTTTACTAAGAATTGAAAATAACGAGCGAAGAACTGTTGGAAGAAAAAAGAAGAAGAAGAAGAAGAAGATTAAAAGAAGAAGAAGAAGAAAAGAAGAAGAAGAAGAAGAAAAATGGAAGGGAGGGAGAAAATGTATTTATTTATTTACAGAATTGATTGGAGGTAGTCACTGTGAAAATTAAGAAGAAGAAGAAGAAGAAGAAGAAGAATTGTCAGAAGAAGAAGAAGAAAAAATGGAAGAGAGTAGTCACTGTCAAAGAAGAAGATAGAAGAAAATGGATTTAGAGAATTGAGAATAGAAACTTTACAATGATGATCATGATGAAGAAGAAAATGAAAAAAAAGAAGGAGAAAGTAGAAGAGAGAGAGAGAGAGAGAAAGAAAAGAGAAATAGAGAGAAAGAAAGAAAATGTATTGTATTAATTCAAACAGAAGAAGAAGAAGAAGAAAAGAAGAAGAGTAAGTGAAGAAGAATTTGAAGAAGAAGAAGAAGAAGAAGAAAGAAGAAGAAGAAGAAGAAGAAAATGGAAGAGGAAGAAGAAAATGGATTTAAAATGAGAATAGGAAGGAGGGAGAAAAGAAAGAGAAAATGGATTTAGAGAAATTGAGAATAGAAAAACTTTTGGAAGAAGAAGAAGATGATAATCATGATGAAGAAGGAGAGATAAAAAATGGAAGAATTGAGAAGAAACGATGATAATCATGAAGAAGAAAATGAAAAGAAGAAGAGAGAGAGAGAGAGAGAGAAAGAGAAAGAGAAAATGTATTAATTTACAGAAATGAAAATAGTAACTGTTGGAAGAAGAAGAAGAAGAAGAAGAAGAAGAAGAAGAAGAAGAAGAAGAAGAAGAAGAAGAAAAAAGTGGGAAAAAAGAGAGAAAGAGAGAGAGAGAGAGAATGAGGATTTGAATGAGAAAATAGACACTATGAAAAAAAAGGGGAAAGTTAGAATGATGAGCAGGGTTAAAAGTGATAAAATTCCTTATTTAATGTCCAACCTTTCGGCCTCCCTGGGGAGAAAAATTTTAAGTACCAGCATAAGCCTTTCCCAGATTTACTTCTGCAAGGCTTAAAATGTTACTAACGCGCATACACGTGAATCCATACATTTGATCTCAAACGAGAAGGCGAGAAGAAATTCTTTTAGGTGTAAACAAAACATTCATTGAAAACATGCGTTAACACTCACACACACACATACACACGCACAGAGAGAGAGAGAGAGAGAGAGAGAGAGAGAGAGAGAGAACGGGAGAGAGTGTGTCTGCGTGTATGTTTTTTTTATTTGTTAGTGTTCTACGAATACATGCTTATATATATTTTGTGTAAGTTTATATTCTCTAGAGATACACAGATTAAATGAGACAATACCCCCTAGATACGCCCATAAACATATACACATATATAAACACGCATATATATATATATATATATATATATATATATATATAGAGAGAGAGAGAGAGAGAGAGGACATATAAAATTTTAGTCTACTGCGTAGAGTTTTAAGAGCAAATATCGTTTTTACAAAAAGAGACAAAAAGGACACAGCAATCGATAAAAAACAGAAAACAACGAAAAACGAAGAAAAATTTTAAAAAATGAGCAAAAACAACGAAAAATAAAAAGTAACTAAAAATGATGAAAAGACAAGAAAAAGACAATATAAAGCAATGAAAAACGAACAAAAACAAAACAATGAAAAAACAAAAACAATGAAAAACAAAAACAATGAAAAACAAAAACAATGAAAAAACAAAAATGAAAAAAAAACAAAAATCAACGAAAAAACAACAAATAAAGAAAAAAATCAAAGAAAAAAAAACAAGACAAAGTAACGAAAAAACAACAAAAAGAAAAAACAACAAAGAACAACGAAAATAGCAAAAAAGAACAAAAACAAAGAACAAAAATAATTAAAGAAAAAAATGAATAAAATACCTAAAAAGAACGAAAAACAAAGAAAGAAAAGAAGAAAAACAAAGAAAAAAGAAAAAACAAAGAAATATGAAAAGAACAAAAACAAAAAAGAAAGGAACAAAAAGCTAAGAAAAAAAGACAAGAACAAAAAACATAGAAAAAAGAAAAAGAACAAAAAGCAGCAAAAACAACAAAAAGCAACAAAAATATAAAAAAACAAAGATAAAAGGAGAAAAAGCACGGAAAACGGGAAAAAAACAACGTAAAAACAAAAACAAAAAAAAAACAAAAATTAAAAAAGAAAGAAAAGGAAAATATATCAGAAAAAAGAAAAAGTACAAAAATGAACTATAAAGAACAAAAAACGACGAAAACGTAAAAGAAAACCAAGAAAAATAAAATATCTCAAAAAAGAAAAAGTAATGTAAATAAAAAGAAAGAAATAAAAAAAAGAAGCAAATTAAAAAGACAAAAAATAAAAAAATAAATACAAAAGCAACAAATAGAGAACAAATGCCATAAAAGAAAACCCCGTTTGAGCAACGAAAATAGACATATTGGTCCGAATAACAAAGCATTCATCTTATTCAATGACATGTTTATATGAAGGACTCCATCTAATTTTTAAGAATAAGAAATGTTGATTGGTACATCGAAGATTTCAGGAACTTCATCGTTATTTTTATTCGATTCTGTCTAAAACAATTCTTGAACAAAACAATTACAAATTTATGCAACTAATAATTTCTGACAATTGAGACCCGGGTTCGAATCTCACCATAGTCGATTTATCGGGAAGGAGACTATCTGATGTTATCAGACAGAAGGGGATCGATCCCAGTGTGCGGCACATTTGGAAAATGTCTGAGAACCATACCACGCCTTGTGAGTGAAACTGGGTAGACAGAACCCTAGGGCGCCGTCTGTAACGGAGCATGCGCGGAAACATCCTCGAACTGCGTGTGTGTGTTGTCGCCGGGCACACCTTCGAGTACCATAATGTACTCGACCAAGGACTACAAGAAGAAGACGCGCGAGTCGTTTGGCGTCTTTTCTTGGGCGACAGCAGCCGTTGCGGTCGTCCGTCCGTCGGCAGCAGTCTTTGGTGCCGTTTTGCTCGTTTGCTGTCGTAAACTATTCGTTCGCAAGAAGGCGTTCGTTTTTGTGTTGCATTCGTTTCAGGTTCGCAAGAAGGCGTTCGTTTTTGTGTCGCAAGAAGTTGTTTCCCCCACACCGTTTTCTCGCACACCGTCGATAGCTGTACTAGCACGAAGTTACAAGTCATCGTGGTCCAGGGCTTGAGCGTGCTGGCCTTGCTCAAATTGTTGATCACGCTAGATAACACGCTCTTTCCCACAAACTGTAATTACGGTCTGCTCAGTATAGTTGCAGTATAAACCACAGGTGGGCTCTGTGGGTGTCGAATAAATGCGCCTGAGCAAGCGTCTGCAATAGGGATTGGCTAGCCGCTCTAATAGACGGGTATCCTCGAATACAAATGGCCTGTTATACATATACACATGCAGCTAATATTTGGCAAAAAGCGAGTCTCACAAAAGGGGTTTCTTTTCCTTAAGGAATACGAAATTCTTGTCATCTTTGTGCACGTCAAGAAAAACTGACAAAATCTGCGCTCTTCTTGATATCCCGTTTGAAATAATAGATCACGTGACGCATATTGGTGACACCCAAGAAATAGGAACGGGGTTCCACAGGCGAGAGGTGCGAGCAAATAAACTATTAGAATAGACATGGAGACATGGAGGTGCAAGAAAAAGGGAAGGAGATGTGGCAAGGCTTGAAAAAGAGGGGAAGTCACGACTTGACAAGAAAAAGAAAGGGAGAGAATGAGAGGGAGATCTTGTGGGGAAAGAAAAAGAGAGGGGGATGTAGTCAAGCGAGAGTGGGAAACATAAGGGGTAAGAAAAAGAGAGTGAGAGAGATACAGTGGGGTATGAAAAAGAAAAGAGAAAGAAATAAAGTTAAATGAAGGAGACTAGGAACCAGAGAAGAAGAGACTAAGTTTTTTTTTTTTAATAATTTCAGACCAAGCAAGTCGATAATGCCACTAAGACGCAAGAGTTTAGCGAGAAGTGAAGAAAAAGACAGTAAAGGAACAGTATTCAGGAAGACAGAAGATGGCAATAATGTCACTAAGACGCTAGGTTTTACTGGGAGTGAAAAAAGAATGAGAAGACTTTAGTGAGAAGAAGTGAAGACAATAAAGGAACAGTATTCAGGAAGACAGAAGATGGCAATAATGTCACTAAGACGCAAGGGTTTACTGGGACTAAAAAAGAATGAGAAGACTTTATTGAGAAGAAGTGTAGAAAAGGACAATAAAGGAACAGGTTTCAGGAAGACTGAAGATGGAGACTGACATTGCATTTAAATTTTTGAAGAATGTAGGTGGCGAGAAAGGAAGAACCGGGAACGTGTTTCACAGGCGAGAAATGCCAGAAAAGAAACCGTATTTTGTATCTAGCTAGTTCAACAATATATATATATATATATATATATATATATATATATATATATATATATATATATATATATATATAAATAAAAGATGACCTCATTGCCAATCTAGTAACACGCTTAGATTCATGCAGTCGAGGCACAAGGGGAAAAACTGATCAGAACAATTTCCATGAAAATATTTGTAGAAAAGACAGAAGGAAGCCATGTTACGGTGGTGGGAAAATGACTGAAAGTCGTGATGTCAAGTCCGTATCAATTATTATTCAGTAAAAAGAAATAAGTTTTATTTTTGTTCATATTTTTATTCAAATACTCAAATTACATTGTGCTAGGTTAAACCATAAAATAAAAACAAATGTTATTAAATGAGACGTACCTTCGCGGTTTTTTCAATTCTGCCCGATAAGAGAGTTCCTATTGGTCTTTCGGGCGACTTACCGAAATCATAGCAATCTAGGTCATAACCCTATTATACGAGTATTCCTTTTAATTAACAAATAGCAGCCAATCAGGTGTATAGGTTACAACGATAGGTGCTCAATATTACGCCTGTCATTGACTTTACTCATAGCCATGCCGGTCAGCACTTGACTGACACCCGAAAAACTTTTGTTTCCCACCTGTTATCGGGACGCAAACTGAGTTCAATGAGAGAAAATGCGCTTCTACCAGTGGAAGTCCCACTGGACTTAATGCCACCTCAACTAGAGTCGATGTCCTCCTCACTGGTAATACCCTGGACACAGACCTGCTTCTGACACGTTGCACCTTTTCCTCAGTACGTAACGGTTCTTTTGTGTTCTTGAGTGTGAGAACTATGCTATAGACAAGACCCTGTTATTATTGTAGCTATTGAAGGAATAGTAAAGACGAAAGAGAGAAAAAGAATGCATAACGGGAATTTGAAGTCGATATTTTTGACACAGATGTGGAAGATGGAAGGGTAATAGCAAAATGCTTAGGGGACGAGATTAGTCTTCCAGGTACAAATTATATTTTAGAATCTTCCGTGCAAGAAAACGAATATTTATTTATTACAAATTTCCACTGCAACCCAAGAGTTTCTTAACATTTGATCTCGTGTTGCCATATATATTTCAACAGCGTTGTGCGGTTTTCATTGGGCCTCCACTGGGAGAAGGTCTTATAATAGAGAAATCTCTGTTTCCAAGGTATCTCGTTAGATTTGCTGTCGCAATATCAGACACGCGATCAAAATCACAGTGGCTTTGTAGACAACATTCTACATCAAGCATTCAACGTCCAAAGGATAATTTTCTTTGCTTCTATAATTACACAAGTGGTTAGAATTATATGTTATTGCCACAACAATAACCAGGAGAATCCATGTTAAAAATTAAATTGATAAATATCTTCCTGGCTTTGGTAATTAGTCTTTTCTAATGTCGTCGAATATTCAACTTCATGTTTTGTTTTACTATTGATCTCAACTACAAGGTTCAAGAAGCACTCAAGGTAGATGGTTACTAAATGAGGTTGCTGTCAGGGCGAACAAGGAAGTAGCAAGAGGTGCGCATTATGAGGATATGTCAAGGCTGGAGAATGAGGACGGGGTGGAAGCTTCCCAATCCTCACTTTTCATCCCTGACAGAGTTCAAAGGTGTTTTCAGGGCCTTGTGTGCAAGGCATTGTTAGTCTATCGTTAATCTGTCCCTATTTTCATGAAAGTTGTTCAGGTGAATTTGGTCCTACCAGTGAAGACCTTCATAGCTAGGACTTGCCATACCACGTACACATTGTCGACTCATCCTGAATCCTTTCGAATTCCATTGGTAGGGAGAGATTTCTAGTGAACTTCTTCCCTAGAACTGCTACTCTGAAATAGACTCCCGAGAGCATTTTCCCGATTAAAACGTTCTTAACATCTTCAGATCTAGGATCAACACTTATCTATCTTTTTTTTTCTTTTTTTTTTTTTTTAAGCATTGTGCCCCAAGCAAGGCGTGAAGCCACTAGGATGCAGGGGGTTGCGGAAGATTTGGAGTGAGAGCAGATAAGAGTGATAGGAGAAAGGAAAAGGAGAAGGATAGTGGGTAGATCAAGGTAATTGGAGATGTCGATTGACATTACATTTGAATAGTTGGAGATTATAGCTTTCAGGGAAACAGTAATTGGGGAGGGTGTTCCACTGGCGAGAGGTGCGAGGTATGAAGCTATTGGAGTAGAAGAGACGGCTACATTTGAAGGTTTCTACAGTGTAAGGGTGAGAGCGGGATGCCAGCCTCGTAGGGCGCTTGAATTCATGGAGTCTGGGAACCAGAGAGCAGCTCATCAGAGCAGTTACCATGGAAGTATTTGTAGAAAGACAGAGTGAGGCGACGGCGCGTCTGGAGAGAGAGTGACTGCAAACAAGACGCTAGATCAGGGCCAATTAGATTACATATCCTTCTCTGGATCTTGTCAAGAACTCCGAGGTAAGCAGAAGGTGCTCCAGCCCATATATGGCAGCAATACTCCATGCAAGGGCGAATGATTGTTTTGTATATTTGAAGTATCGATTCAGGGGAGAAAATTTTCCGGGCGCGGCACAGAGAGCCAACTTTCCTCGCGGTGGAAGAAGCAATTGACTCAATGTATTTGTTCCATCTCAGGTCAGCAGTCAGCGTTAGACCGAGCAGACGCAGTGAGTTGCTCTCAGGAAGTTGACTATCAGATCTTCCTAATATGCACCTTGAAACAACTTTATCCTCTATTTTGATTGGTCCTTGAGACTTGTACTGGATGAACAACAATATAAGAATGAACTCACTTACCTTTAATTTCTTCGCTGACCGCTGAGCTATGAGGGTGTCGGTGATAAATCCTCTCTTGTCGTGTAATCAAACTTTGTCTCCAGGGCATCATGAGGCGCCCAGGTTTCATCACCCATCATCATGTGTCCCAAAAAGTCTCCATCAATTTAACCTTCCAAAAAAATGGAAAAATGGACAAGGTCGGGAATGTTTTTTTTTCAGTCAAATATTTTGTGACCCAAAATGGTACTTGCTGGTATTCATCGGAAAATCGACATCCAACTTTAGAAAATAAAGTTCTACATCTATAGCCCGAAGTTTGCACTTCCTGTTATCTTGAATTAAAGTTTCAAGGCATGTACTGTTGACTTCTACTGCTGATGAATGCGAATGCCCTACACGAGGTTAACGCCTTGTAGATTCTTATTCCTCCTCTATGAATGTACTACAACAGACAGCTATCCGCTTCCTATTCATTACTTATTTGACGTACAGAGATCAAAGTAAGATTATGTTGGATATTTATCGTTTAAAAACTGTTTTGTGCTTACAGCTTTCATAATATTTCATTTATGGTCGATTTGTTCCTATGTGTTCCTTGTGCTTCGGATCTCTCTCTCTCTCTCTCTCTCTCACACGCACGCACACACACACACACACATATATATGCATATATATATAGACGTCAAATAACTTGAACAGATATTTTGACAGATATATTGTGACCCAAAATTTTTGTGACATTTTGACAGATATATATATATATATATATATATATATATATATATATATATATATATATAGACAGCAATTAACTTGAACAGATATTTTGACGGATATTTTGTGACACAAAATGGTACTTGCTGATATTCATCGGAAAATCAACATCCAACTTTAGAAAATAAAGTTCTACATCTATAGCCCGAAGTTTGCACTTCCTGTTATTTTGAATTAAGGTTTCAAGACATGCCCTATTGTTTTCTACTGATGATGAACGCGAATGCCCTACACGAGGTTAACACCTGGAACATTCTTATTCCTCCACTGTAAATGTACTACACAAGACAGATATCCGCTTCCTATTCATTACTTATTTGACGTACAGAGATCAAAGTAAGGTTCTGTTGGATATTTATCGTTTAAAAACTGTTTTGTGCTTACAGCTTTCATAATATTTCATTTATGGTCGATTTGTTCCTATGTGTTCCTTGTGCTTCGGATCTCTCGGATCTCTCTCTCTCACACACACACACATATATATATATATATATATATATATATATATATATGTATATAAATAAATAAATTAATTTATAATATATATATATATATATAGACGTCAACACTCAGAGGCTCCAGACTGTTTCATGCTAAACGCAATCATCAGGTGTGATTATTGCGTTTAACATGAAGCAGTCTGTCGCCTCTGAGTGTTGACATCAATGTTCACTTTTATATCTACATACGCTACATTTCTGATACTGGGCACTTTATCCCATAATTATAGCATACTTTAAAACTACATTTCTTCATATATATATATATATATATATATATATATACATATATATATATATATATATATATATATATATATATATATATATATATATATATACTGTCATCCGCAGACAGACTGTTTCGCTGTGTGGCTAGACGTCCGGTTACCTCTAGCTAGGATTGAAACCCGACTAAATTGGCGTCACTCGGAGATTCTACCACTAAGCCATTAGCGTACGGTAGGGATGAAAGTGAATTTAAGCGCATTTATTTTTGGATAAACACAGTGACCGACTGAGAGAAATCGATTCGCTTTACCGAAGAGTCTTGCATTATTAGTTGTAATGGTCACTGTTTACAAACTCACATTCCCTCCCCAGAGAGCTCAACTGAAATAAATTTTTCAGGAGACACACGTCTGATTGAATTAATTACAAACCTTATGACTGCTTATTTTTATCATAATCCTATCATATTTACGAATTTTCGTATATTACAATTGAATGAGACAAGAAATTGTTATATACGGAAAAATATTCGTGAATATGAAAGGACTATAATAAAAAAAAACAACACACATTGTCTTGGGAGTAATAATAGCGGTGTGAAGGTAAAAACTTTTTTTTGACGCACTGTTTTATTGCCAAAATATTTATAGAAGAGACGCAGGGTAGCCATGTTACGACGGTGGGAAGGGATTGAAGTTGAGATGTCAGATGAGGACCGATAATATTGCAGATTCTTCGTTGGTCTTTGCCCAGAATTTCAAGATAGGTAGCAGAAGACCCCAAATCATGTATTAATATAAACGAAAAAATAGCAGCTGAAACGCAATATAATTATCTGTCTATATTTCTGAGATGATGTATTATGTACACTATTTACATAATTCGGACTATTGTCCTCATCTTTGTCGCCATATTTATTACAACGTTTCGGCCGTTGTACGCTCCGGCCTTCTTCGGGTGATTGGAATGTCGAACTGAACTTTTTATTTCGCTCACTCTGTAGACTGTTCTAGTTCCACGTGCCATGTCCTCGAGGACACATGGCACAGTGAATAAAGGCGTTAGTTAAATCCAGCGACAGGATCCAAAGAGTGTGAGTTCAATACCCGGTGAAGGCAGTGGAGAACTTTCAGAGAGGAATTAACAGGAGATAACTGATAACTGACATCCATTAAAACATGGAACGTGGAACTAGAACAGTCTATCCCAGTGAGCGAAATAAAGGGTTCAGTTCAACATTCCAACCATCTGAAGAAGGACGGAGGGTACAACGGCCGAAACGTTGTAATAAATATGGCAACAAAGATGAGGACAATAGTCCGAATAATGTAAATGTAATGTATTTGTTTGTTTGGTTGGTTCAAAATTACACCCTAAATCGAAAAATTCAAAACAGCAAAATAGTGCTTTGTTTGGCAGCTGTTTAAAACTTCATTGCCGTAGATGGAGATGGGGGTCTGGAAATAAAGAAAATTCACACAATTTTTGCTTTTATCAGTTAAATTTAGTTTTGGGCCTTTTTTTATCGGCCCTATATGAAGTTCTGCTTCAAAAGTTTTCCGTTATTCCTGCCAAGAACCACGCTTTGCAGATGAGAAAATAATGGTTATCGATGAATTCTATTATTTCCCA